AACAAAATCTCCGGATACCAATCCGTTGGACTATTGTGTCTGGAGTAGTTTGGAAAGCAAGGTTAGCGCTAAAAAAATACCAAAGTGTCGATCACCTCAAGCAAAGCACTTCGCCACCATACTATGGAGGGTATATTAACTTTGTCATTCAGTTTGTAACTCTTCGAAATACTCATGTCAGACCCAACAAAGTATATATATTCTTGATCAGCGTAAAATTCTAAGACGATTTAGCCATATCCGACTGTCTGTCTGTCTGTGTCTGTGTCTGTGTCTGTCCGTCTGTCTGTCTGTTGTAATCACGCTATCTTTCGAATGAATTGAGATATATGGCTACAATTTTGCACACATGTTTATTTTTCCAGTAGGCTGGTTAAGTTCGTAAATGGGCCATGTAGGTTCACGTTTTCATATAGCCCCCATACAACGGTACCTCCCTATATTCGGTATTTTGATAATTTTAGCGACATTATTCACCGGAATTATTTCAAATTTGGTATTTGAAGTTCAAAATGGATACTACACCCTAAGACAGAAAATTGTTTGTGCAGGTCCACATCTCATATAGCCCCCATATAACGGTACCTCCCAATATTCGGTATTTTGACGATTGACGAAATTGTTTGAGATGTGGTATTTGAAGTTCGTAATGGGTGCTACAGCCTGTGACAGAAAATTGTCTATGCTGGTCCAGGTCTTCGCATAGCTCCAATTTAACGGCACCTCCTTATATACGATATTTTGATGATTTTAGCTACATTATTCACCGTTTATTTCAAGTTTCGAATTTGAATATGGTAATGGCTTAAGACAAACAATGCTTATGTATGTCCACGTCGTATAGACCCCAATATAACGGCTAAATTCGGTACTTTTAAAATTTTAACAGAATTTTTTAAGGATTTTATTTTTTGAAAATTTCCAAATTCGTTGCAAATGGTGGAGGGTATTAAAAGTTTGGCCCGGCCGAACTTACTGCTTTTTAACTTGTTTTTACCTCACCCTGTATATACCTTCAAAACATTGCACACCAACAATCTTGGGCTTAAGGAAAATCTCTGAAAGGGTTTTCAGATCAACATTAATTGACGTTTCAAAGAATTTACCACCTGAAGTGACTTTAAACCAATTATTGAGATTTCTTAGAAATATTTATTCTGGGACCTGTAGACCTACAATATTGAATTTCCAAGGGAGCGGATTTCCAACATCATAGAATCTTTTATTTCCCATAGAACAAAATCTGACCACGGGTAACTATTGAGGTTTAGGATTATTTTAAATTTTTAACGCAAAATTTCTCAAAAAATATCGACGAATGTCTTCGATTGGCCGCGTTCTGTTGTCATCCATAAATCTCTTACTGATGTGGATACCCAGGCTTCTGTAGTCGTGGGTAATATGACATTCACCAACCCTTTTGGCAAATTACGGGCGAGAAAACTTAACAGACAATGAAAGCCCTGACTGGCTAAAAAGGTAGGAAATGTAGGTAAAATTATGATAGATAGCTATTAATGGGGTTATACCATAAGCGATTAATATGGTCTTCAATGTTAAACCTTCTAAATCGATTAAAGCCATTTTCAATATTAAATATCCTAGGAGTAATAAAAATGACTGTACAAAAATGCAAAGCTCTATCTTTACTATTGCAATCTCTATCGAGATTTCGTAGTATTTTATAGTATTTTTGTCAAATTTAAAGAGATAACATTTTTTGTTAAATTTAAGATAATATTATCTCTCCTGGATATATTCCAAAAATTCCACTGGCAATGTGACTTCCCCGAAATTCGAAAGTTCTAATTTTGTTGTCATTCAAAATTGCCGTGTCAAGTCATTTCACTTGAGTGTCATTATCATCATCCTCTCATTAATTATGCATATTATTAAGTAATTAACACATATATGAAATGTTTAAATAAAGTATATATTTATTGTTGTTGTTGTTATTTGTTTGTTTTTAGAATTATTCAAATTAATTTCAACTGTTTTTGTTTCCGATACGCTAGTTATGGCTCACTGGCTGACTTCAATTTAAAAAAGATATGAAATTGAAAAATATTTAATTAAATTGCGCGGCAATAACAACTGTTGCAAATAAGCGTTTCTTTTTTTGTTGATAAAAATTATTTTAATTTAATTTTAATAATATCCGGAGTAATGACTTGACAATCAGTTGTAGACAAAATAAGTGGATGGGATAAAACGAAAATGGATGTTCAATCAACTGTAGCAACAGGTAGAAAATTTGTCTATGGAAAGACCTATAGGTCTCTCATGGAAAAAAATTAATTTTCTAAAGAGAAGAAGTGGAAGCCTTATTGAGGTATTCTATCTTCTTGATCTTAGGGTCTTGTATGAAGAAGTATTTTAAGGATATATATACTTTGTAGGGTCTATTATGAATATTTCTTGGAGTTACAAACGGAATGACAAAGTTAATGTACCCTCTATAGAATGGCAAAGGGGTATAAAAGACCTAAAAGTCGTCACCTCCAGGTCTTCTACGGAGAAGTCGCCCAGGTCTACTCAATGGAGAAGTCCTCCAGATTTACTCTATGGAGCAGACTTCCAGGTCTTCTCTATGGATACTACATCCTCATCTGGAGAAGACCTTTACCTTGACCTTGAGGTCTTCTATAGAGAATACCTTGAGGTCTTCTATGGAGAAGACCTTGAGGTCTACTATAGAGAAGACCTTGAGGTCTACTATAGAGAAGACCTTGAGGTCTACTATAGAGAAGAGCTTGAGGTCTTCTCTTCTATGGAGAAGACCTTCAGATCATTTATTGAGAAGACCTCCAGGCCTTCTATAAAGAAGACTTCCGGGTCTTCTATGATACAGATCTCCAGACCTTCTATGAAGAAGACCTCCAGGTCTTCTATAAAGAAAACCTCCACGCTTCAACGGAGAAAACCTTCAGGTCATCTATGAGGAAGACATCCACGTCTTCTATGAGGAAGACGTCCAGGTCTTCTATGAGGAAAACGACCAGGTCTTCTATGAGGAGGACGTCCAGGTCTTTTATGAAGAAAACCTTCAGGTCTTCTATGAAGAAGACCTGCAGGTCTTCTTTAAAGAAGACATCCAGGCATTCTATTAAGAAGATCTCCAGGTCTTCTTTAAAGAGGACATCCAAGTCTTCCATGGAGAAGATCTGCCAGTCTCCCATGGTGAAGTTCTCCAAGTCTTCAGTGGAGAAGACTCAAGGTCTTCTAGAATGAATACTTCTTCTATAAAAAAAAAACAGTAAAGAAAGCCTTAAAATCGGGCGGGGCCGAATTTATGATACCCTACACCACTTTGCTAATTTAGTAGAGCTGCGCATAACAGTTAAAAGTTTTTATGGGAGAATTCAATCATACACGGTATGATTATAATTATAATTTAAGGTTCAAGGGACTAAATATGCCGAAGCATTTGTATCTTTTGAATTCGGACTTGTACTGCCCATTTGGTGCACAATTAATTTGAAATCGGATAAAGATATATATGGGAGCTATATCCAAATCGGAACCGATTTCGATAGAATTTGACAAAGATATTTCTGAGCTGTATTTGATATATTTTCCTGAATATCGTTGTTACGGGGTGCATATTACGGCTGTTGGTAACAAATATAACAAATCGGATGAACAATATATATGGGAGCTATACCTATATCTGAACCGAACTTCACCAAATTTGACATGCTAGCTTCTAGACTCGATTCGGTCGTAAGTGCCAAATTCCATCGCATTTAGATAAATATTAGACGTTGGTGCACAATAAAAGGTAAATCGGACGAAATTATATATGGGAGCTATATCCAAATCTGAACCGATCTCGATAAAATTTGGCAAAGACATTTCTGAGCTATATTTGAAATATTTCCCCAAATATTGTTGTTGCAGAGTGCATATTACGGCTGCGGAGGACAAAAATAACAAATCGGATGAACAATATATATGGGAGCTATAGCTATATCTGAACCGATTTGGATCAAATTTGGCATACTTATTTTTAGACCTAATTTGGGTGTATAAGCAAAATTCCATACTATTCTGGCTGATATTTCACGTTTGGTGCACAATAAAAGCAAATCGGACGAAGATATGTATGGGAGCTATATCTAAATTTTGACCGATTATCTCCAATTTCAATAGGGCTCGTCTTTGGGCCAAGCAAATGATCTATGCAAATTTTTATCTGGATCGGGCAATAAATGCGACCTGTACTTTGTTTACAAAAATACATGGACAGACGGACGGACGGACGGACATGCATAAATCGACTCAGAATGTGATTCTATGCAGATCATCAAAAGGAACTATGTGTCTATCTCGTTTCCTTTTGCCTGTTACAAACAAATGCACAAAGACATAATACCCTGATAATACTTGTGGTGTAGGGTATAAAAACCTTAAAGACCTGAAGTCCCTTACATAGAATGTCTTAGGGTCCCCTATGATGAGTATTGGAATACCTTTTATGATTTATGGAGAAAACATTGAGATACTTTATGGGGAAGACCTTCTGTGTCATACTTTATGGGGAAGACCTTGAAAACTTCTTTGTCGTTGACTTAAAGATTAAAATGTTCACTAAGAAATTGTTTTGGTAAAAAATGTGTATCGGAATTTTCCGAGAGGGTCATTAAACATGTGTGGTTATTACCTAAACACTTATCACAACCAACATCATTATATTGGACTTTTGCCACTCTTTCTCCTCAATATTTCTTTTCCACCATTTCTCTGAAGTTCCCTATACCTCGCCCCGAAAATTAATTGCAATAACCATAAAATCTCGAATCGAAAAAAAGTAAATAAAAATCTATTGGAATCCATAATAAAATAAGCAAATAAATTACAAAGTCTCAAACAAATAAGGCAATAAAATTCAAATTAATTTACATTAAAGTCATTAATTATGACATCGTTGTGTTCGATCGAAAGCGAAATGGAATAATAAAAATTAACAATAAATAAAAAACAATAAAAAAACGACTTACCAATATTTGTTTCATTCGCCGGCAAAGTAAGTGGTGTCACAATTTCTGGAGCTGCGGTTGATATGGACAATGGCGAAGATGCTGTCGATACTGCCGATAAAGTCAATGGTAATGGCAATGATGATGATGATGACGTCGCATTTTCTGTGAATATTGCTGATGCTGATGTTACTGTTGTTGTTGTTGTTGTTGCATTTACCACTGTTGCTGCTCCAGCTACATAGCTCCGAGCACCAACAACAGCAATCATAAATACCAACAGCAATAAATCTTTGCCACTGATCATTTTACCAACTGACATCCAGCCATTGACGGCAACGTCGACGACACCATTGTTGGTCGTAGACAAATACTTAAGGCAGCGTTTTGGTTTGCAATGATTCCGCTTTATCACAGCCATGCTGACATAATTAAACGATCGAAGTCAGATAAAAACAAGAAGAGCGAAAAAAAACGCAAAACAAAGGAAACAAGCGGCAAATGTCTGTGTCAGAAAATTAAAAGGCAGACGCGCACAAAAAAGAAAAAAAAAACAGGTGCTGGAAGTAAAATAAAAAAACACACACACACAAACGAACACATTAATTAACATGTCTTGAAAAATTGCAAGCGATTTGAGTTAATATGGGTATGAGGAATTTTGAATAAAGAAAAAATCCCAATTATTAGAACAATATTTATTTTGTGGTTAATTTAGTCACGTACACACAATTGGATTTTAAAACAAATATAAATCATTGTGTTCGAATATTGGGTCATAAATGTAGAAATATATTTAAGTTGTATTTTTATAATTTCTAATCGAATATTCTACAACAATAGCTATATCTACTTAAATTTTCATATTGACATTAAATTTATATTTCATATTTTGGACCCTAAACAGCAAAATTTTATAAATGGTATAATACAAAATATAGGTCCTCATTGCTATCAATAACCAGTATAGAAAGTACTAAAGTCGGGCGGGGCCGAATTTATGATACCCTACACCACTTTGCTCCATATGACAATTAAAAGTTTCTATGGGAGAATTCAATCATACACCCTATAATTATAATTTAAAATTCAAAGGATTAAATATGCCGAAGCATTTGTATCTTTTAAATTCGGACTTATATTGCCCATTTGGTGCGAAATTAATTTGAAATCAGATCAAGATATATATGGGACCTATATTCAAATCTGAACCGATCTCGATAAAATTTGCAAAGATATTTCTGAGCTGTATTTAATATATTTCCCTGAATATCGTTGTTACGGAGTGCATATTACGGCTGTGGGTAACAAATATAACAAATCGGATGAACAATATATATGGGAGCCAGAGCTATATCTGAACCGATCTTCACCAAATTTGGCATACTTATTTTCAGGCCTAATTCCATCCCATTTGGGCAAATATTAGACGTTTGGGGCACAATAAAAGGCAAATCGGACGAAGATATATATGGGAGCTATATCTAAATTTTTACCGATTATCTCCAATTTCAATAGGGTTCGTCTTTGGGCCAAACAAATGTTGTTTGGAAAATTTCATCTCAATCGGATAATAAATGCGACCTGCATGTTGATAACAAAAATACATGGACAGACGGACGGACGGACAGACGGACTGACATGCATAAATCAACTCAGAAATTGATTCTATGCAGATCATCAAAAGGAACTATGGGTCTATCTCGTTTCCTTTTGCCTGTTACAAACAAATGCACAAAGACATAATACCCTGACCCCCTTGTGGTGTAGGGTATAAAGATGAGATGTTCCAAGTCTGGAATGGAATCGGATGTTATTTTCGCGTTTTGCGAATTTAAAGGATATTCAAAAATTCAGGAGGAGGAGAGTGGACCGATATATTCTATCTTCACACCAGACCTTGGGTTAGTAAAATTATTGTGACGTATAATTTAAAGTGAATCGGACTCATACTGCTGTAGGGCATTTGTTTGAATCACGAAGAAGGAAGCGAGGTAGACCTATAGTTACATTGATGACCATCATAGAGTCTCTTTCTGAGTCGATTTATGCATATCAGTCAGCCCGTCAACATCCAACTGAATTCATACTAGAAACAAGTATTTCAAATTTGTAGAAAATCGGTCCAAATATAGCTAAAGCCCCCTGTATATATGTTTCAACCGATTTTGGGTTTTAAGACCCTTATATACGTAATGTGCACTCCATAACAACAGTCTTTGATACCAGATATCAAATATTATCGAAATCGGTTAAGATTTCTATATAGCTTCGATATATATCTACATTCGATTTTACGGTTATTGATCACCATATATGTTATATCCGACAAAATTGAATAGATTTTTTCACATTCAACCGAATTTTTACCATTTCGTGAAACTCGGTCTGGTATATCAAGTGCTCCGATTAATTTTTTTTAATATAATCCTTATAGAAGTCATATCATGCACTATACAACAATGTTATTTGGATTATTATATAAGAGGATGGGGAATCTCTTTACAAATAGGTGTAAGTGGAAGTCCTTTTATCATTTAGCATAAAGGGTAATATACCATCTGACAAAGCCGTTAACCGTTTTTAGTAATGTCTGTAATTCGGTATTTTTCATTTGCAAAAAAACTAAAATTATCACATCACTTTTCGGTACAGCTTCCATATAAGGTTATCAGTCGAGGAGGTTTGGTATATTTAAGGGTTTAACGACATTTTCCTCTGGGTCCAATGACAGGTGTAGTTCCCAAAGAAACTCGCCCGGATTCAGATACTGTTATTTTAAACTTGTTTTTGCCCAAGATATAGCATAAAATGGTTTATTGATGGTTTATTTAATGTTTGTATTTTGGTTTAAATTCCAATACCATAATTAACCAAATATCGTTAATCGTTCATATTTTTTGACATGTTGTGATTTATATATTCCACATGCCCTCCACCACCCTCTGTGTGGAATATTTTTTTTTTTTGTTGAAATTCATTCATTTTGAAACCATTTAACATAAATACTACCTTATTTGTCCGCTGGCTTATTAATTATCATCATAATAAACATCAATAATGACAACTATTAATTTAAAATATTTAACAAAAACAATATTGTCATTTTGAGTATGCTGCCGGTTTTGTTTATTTATTTTTTGTTTGTTAACATTCCTCCGATGTTCGATGACGATGAAGTTGTTTTGTATTAAATTAATTTGTGACAAATTTAAAAGCTTGTTCGAGGGTTGTTTGTTTATATTTTGGATGATTATAATTGGGTCAGTTTTGAATTCGGTGGATTTTGATGGGGGGTATTCATTATAAAAGAGTTGTTTTCCACAAAATTAAAAAAAAACAACGTTATTTATAAACTTCCCCAGCAGAAATTCCGTCATATTTATTGGATTTTTTAAAAGAAAGAAAACCTATTTTTATATATTTTTCTCTACAGCTGCATAACATTGAATGGCCATTGTCTTTTGTGTTGACATTGACATGGAAAATGTTTGCAGATATATTCTTTTTTTAATTTCCACTCTCCCACACACAAACAACATTTGTTCAAACAGTTCAATACCAAGCCATAAGTTTCTTTGATATATCACCTGCCATTATTACGCCACCGCATGCATATTCATATATGCGAATATTTTAAAGTTTGCTACACTTTTTGTTTTAAGTCATTTCATGGAATTTCCTAAACTTATCGATTATAATAAATATTTCATTTTTATCGCTACCAAAATCAACCTCACGAATATGATCGAAATTCATAAAATATGGGTTTTCACGAATATCCCCAGTCCGGAGTCAATGATTGTCGGAGTGTGATTGAACAGTAATTGATATTGTTGTTTCGGGCGGATGCATTTTTTGAATATTAATTATGACACGTTTTTGCTTTTAATTTTTCTTAACAGATCTTTGTGAAAAAAAAATTAAAAAAAAAAAAATAATAAACGAAACGAAACGTGATATTTGTTTGTTTAAATCAAAGTATATTTCTTATTTTGAAGAAATATGAGGGAATTAAACAAATAAATTTGGATTAGCTAGACTTAACTATTTAATTAGGATACCTAACAATTTTGTTTGAATAAATAAATTCTTAGTCCAAGACCACAAATAGTTACAGGGAAAATCCAGTAGATTGTGAAAGTAGAGTTGAAAACAGAAGACGCGTGTATTAACATTTTAAAAGTTTCCTCTTCCACATTTTTTTTATACCCTATAACACTATGTGTTGGGGGTATTATAAGTTTGATTGGGCCAAAAATTATGTAACACCTCGAAATATTGGTTTCCCACATAGGAAAGTATATATGGATCTTCCTAGCTCGCCGAGATGAGGCGATCTAGCTATGTATGTCTGTCCATGTTAATTTGCAATCAAGCTACAGGTCGCAATTATGACCCGATCCTCACGAAATTGAAATTGAGGTGGGGTTATGGTCAGAATAGAACCCTATTGTTTTTGGAGATGATCGCATGATATTTAGGGGTTGAAATGGACCAAAAACAGAAAAATTTTTTGATTTTGTAGTTGCTGTATAGGTCACAATTATGAACCAATCGACGCGAAAATTTATATGGTGTTAGAGTTTAGGAGTGGGCAGAAACCTACCAATTTGGGCGGCCATCGGACAATAATTAGCGGGTAAAATGACCCTAACTTTTATGTAAGAAAATAGAAAACTTCCCACTAAACCGCGAATATTTTCAACCCCAGCCAAATCACAAATACATTAAAAGATCACTTCTGACCATTACAGTGATGCTAATAGCCAATAAATCGGATATATAGCAAATTAGGTACAATATATATGTAAAATAATTGATCTTATTTATTCTGCTTATAAGTAAAGAACCGCTGGGCCGATTTTCACAATTCCCATCAATTCGGAATGGTCTTTTGCCAGAAAAGCAGAAAATCGCGGTAAAATATACCAATAAAAAAGTGAATATTCTTTGTTCCATTTTTTTCAATTCTTGTCATATTTTTTATCGCATGCGATTTTTTCAATTTGACTTACAATTTTGAATTGTAAATTTTCTAAATGTTTACACCTATCAACACTACGTTTTGAGGGTATTACATGTATGTCGCAATTATCGTCCGATCCTCACGAAATTTGGCATGGGAGATGTACATTTAGAGGTGCAAATAGACTAAAAAAAATGATTTTTTCTAATTTCTAGTCGCTCTATAAGCCACAGTTGAAACTAATCGACACGGAATTTCGCATCGGAAGAGAGTTAAGAACAGGGAAGAAGTCTAGCATTTTGGATGATTACATTTAGCTGTAAAATGGACCACAACTTTCAGAAATTTTGCCAAATTCTCCGGGCCAAAAAACTAAGGGTAACCTCTGGGCGGGGCTCTTTGACATTATTTCAAAAACGAAATCTTCCAAAATGGATTTGGATATATGGGCATTTTGAATATATTGTAGTGTTGTAGGGTATCACATGGTCGGCCCCGCACGACTATAGCCTTTGCTTACTTGTTAAATTATGTAATTAAGTTTCTATACCCTACAACACTATGTGTTTCATTCACACTAAGTGTTTCATT